TCACATCCCTGTATGTCATCTTCTCATCGGCATCCAGCTGCTGCCACTCTTCCTGGGTGAAGTCCACAGCCACATCTTTGAATGACACTGGACCCTGCAATGGTACCATGACTCCAATCTGGTGATGTGGAAAAAAGCATACAGTGACAAGATCTTCTCATTGTCACTGGAAAAGTTAACCATTAGCACTGTATACCTTATTTTATGTCAGACCGTAGGAGCAAAACACACATATCAGACACAGTGCCCCAGGGATCTTGCATATACATTAAGACAAAGAAAATACTGGGCTTGTCCTGGGAGCCAAGAATGACCTTGGCTAGCTGGAAGCCTAACTAGGAGGTACAGCCCTGGACGAGCAAGGTCTGCGGGGCCCTCGGCAGGTACTGGGACGCTTTCCACAGCTAGTGTTGCTTCTCACCTCACCTCCCAGACACTCCTCAGGCACCTCTCTCCTCCAAATCACTCTGAAGTTGGATAGCCCTGAGGCTCAGTATCTGGCCATTTTTTCTGTGCTATATAACTTGCTGCTTTGACGGTGGGCCTGCCTGGCTTCATGGCTAATCTTTCCGCTCTTGACCAGCATTTCCTGATTTCTATCACCAACCCAGGCCTCTCTCCTGAACTTCAGACACTCAAGTTGCAGATCTTAAACTCAATATACCTGAAATTCAGCTGTTATTCCTACCTAAGCCTGTTCCTCCAGTAGGAACTGCTCTCCAATTCTTGTCACAATCAACAAAGCAGTAAGGAAACCAAGCAACTTTCATGCTTGTTTTCTGCCTCTTCGCTTTGCTTTGTGGCCCTAGGAACTGAACCCAGGGCCTCACACGTATAAGAGCTCACCTCCACTGAGCTATATCCCCAGCCTAGTTTTCTATCTTATTGCAGGGTAAGCTTGTAGCTTGCCTCATGGAATGTCAATAGCAGCTTGGCCTGGCTGTTCCCAACTCCAGCTGGGAACTCTGATCCTTCCCCTTTCTTCCCCTTTACACATTCCAGGAGCAGAAGGCACACTCCTGAGAAGGATTTTTTATTTATTTCTTTATTTTTTGCTCTGAATGCCTTCAGGGCAGGTTTGGGCGGCTTGAGTTATAGGGATTGAACCACGGCAACCTGAGCGTGACTGCCTTGTTGAAGCAGCCACTTAAAGAAATGAGCTAAGGGGGGCAGGCCCCCTCCTGAGGATAGACAGCTACTAGGAAACTGATAAAATTCCATCTTAAAATACCTATCTTTTTAATAAACCTGCCCCATTCACAAATGCACCAGTACTACAACTGGCTCCTTCAGTATCACCTCTTCTACAATAAAGTGACCGTGGTCCCTGTCACACATTACCATACCAGTAAGAAATGGGAGCTTCGTGGAAAAGTACTTAACACTGATTTCTGGACACGATACATACTCATCAGTGGTATCTATTGATACTGTCCTATACTGAATGTTACTTTTTTTTTTCAAAACGGGACTAAATAGTAACCATAAAATAAAAGGATCCAAGGACAGTGGTGAACCCCTATAATCCCAGCTATTTGGGAGGCTGAGGGGAAAAAAAATGCTAAACTGAGACTCTCAAAATAAAATGGCTGAGAACATGGCTCAGTGGTAGAGCATTTGCCTAAAACGAGCAAGGCCATGGGTTCTATTCTTAGCACCACAATAAAATAAAGCAAAAAACCCCAGATGTTTAAACAACTGGAAAGCTGTTGAGTTTTCGGCACTTGAAAGGATTATAAAATGGAAATAACAAAGACTTCAGATGATTTCAGCAAAGCACAGAGGTGTGACAGACATAACAATATAGGGAAAGAAATTCTAATGATAAACTAATGTTTCTGAACCAAAGTCCTCCCAGTAACAGCACTATGTGTCCCACTGAGAAGCTATAATTCAGTACACAGTGCAGCAGGTGCTGCCACCTGCACCAAGCTTTCTCACCCAAAGACATTTAAAGATATAGTACTAGGGCTGGCGAGATAGCTCAGCAGACTAAGTGCTTGCTTAGGTAAGTACAGGGGCCAGGGTTCGATCCCTAGCACCACATGCTACGCTGGCCTCACCCCTGGGCACGCTGAGCCAGTGATGGAGTCTGGGCATGGTGGTGCACACCTGTAATCCCAGCACTAGGGAGGCTGAAAACAGGAGGATCACTAAGTCTGAGCTGCATAGTAAGTCCCTGCACACGCATGTGCACACACACACACACACACACACATACATGACATAGTACTTGATTTTTCAAGATGAAAATATTCAACAGTTATATGGTAATGCTGTAAAGTAAAATAAAAGAGAAAACAACTTGCAAGAATATATTGCTTACATGATCCAAACTGGAAAAATGTATAAACATCTGAGAGTATAGCCATATCTTAGTACTCTACTGCTTTGAAACTCATCAAATTCTGTACTCCATGCATTCTGACAATAAAAATGTTTCCTTGGCCAGGGATATTTCTCAGCAGCATAAGCACCTACCTGGAAAATGCAAGGTCCCAAGTTCAATCCCTGATACCACAAAATAAAATAATAATTTTCTTGGTACAGTTGTCATTTGTTGCTTGACATAAACGCTAGAACTTGCCTCATGGTTCACTACCCTTTCCAGCCAAAAGACTTTGGTACTTGTCATGCCTTCAGTTAACCATGAGTACCATGGTTACACTGTACTTCATGTCAATAAGCAAAGGCAGGGTTGGGGGGTAGCTCAGTGGTAGACAAAAAGCTTGCCTAGCATGCACAAGGCCCTGAGTGCCATCCCTAGTACCAAAACCAAACTAAAACAAACCTAAGAAAAACAAAACAACATTGCAGAAAGATTGCATGAATATATTGGGCACTTCACATAAACGGGTCAGTCTAAAGAGCTACTGTGTGGTTCAAACCATATGACAATCTGCGAAAGATGATAACAGAAAGGCAATAAAAAGATCAGCAGCTGCCAGAGCTTGAGGTCGAAGGGAGGGGATGAAAAGAGGGGACACAAAAGGTTTTTTAAAGTAGGAAAACATCTCTGGATCAGACTATGACACTGGATACATGGTATCAGCCCTTGTTTAAACCTAAAGAGTAGCCCTAAAGTAAACTATAGGGCTCAGTGGAATAAGCGCTTCCCTGGCAAGTGCAAGGGCCTGAGTTCGATCCCCGGTTCTGCTAAAAAAAAAAAAAAAAAAAAAAAAAAAAAAAAAAAAGAAAAAGTAAAGCAAACTATACATTGAGGAAATAGTCTTTTTCTTTTCTTTTTTTTGGAGGGTGGGCAGTGAGGCAGGCTTTGAACTTCTGAGCCTTCTGCCTTGGCCTCCTAGTAGGTGTGATTACAGGTGGGTGCCACTGTGTGCAGGCTCATTTTAAGAAATGATAATAATGTGTTCAAGATGGTTTATCAATTGTACCACACTAATGCAAGATGTTACTAATCAGAAGCTGCACGGGGAGGGATTGCTAAAAACTCTGTGATACCCACATAACAAAATGACTATAGAACATAGCCTAATCACTGAAAGAAAAGGGTTTCTAAATAAATGTATAAATACATTCAAACCTAAGTCTCATTCATGACAAAGATGCCAACCCCCAGCCCACTGACAATCTTGTGTCCTACTCCCTGTCTGGGAGCTCAGGTAGGCTGGAAGGCCATTTCTGATCCCCACCTCCACACACATAGCAGTGTTCCAAATGCCTTCCACATTGTTAATTTCTGTATTACATCCTTTTATCTGATGACATCCTGCTCTTCTTAGTGTTTATCTCCACTCCCCGATCTCATGGTCCCTTCACTGGCCCTCCAGATCCCTGCATGGTACCCCAACCACCCTACTCCATGCTGTTCTGGGCACTCAGCCACACATCTGAAACCCTCAGCCCAAAAGGCTTTATCGCTGTGGGAACCCCACCTCTTCCCCGGGGCCCTGGTCAGGACACTGGGACAACACTGAAAACCAGACTTCTGCTTTGTTGTCACTCCAGGTTTCCCAGGGACTAATCCCCCACATTCCCCTCAGCATCCCTATTACTCTGTCAACTGTTTCTCCATGGAAACCAGGAGCTCCTTAAGGTTAAGAAGGCCTCTTAAAAGCTCATCTCCATACCTGAGGAGCTATGACATTATCTGCCAAGACAAGAGACAGAATGCTAGGTGAGAACAGGAGCAACACATAGGAAGCTTCTTTGTAACTCCAGGAAGAGCAGGAGCCGGGTCCTTGGGGAATGACTGGTCTCCACTGCTTCCAGCTGAGAAGCATGCATACAAGACGCAAGCTACCCAAAGAACAAAGTGTTCGTGCTGTAGGAGATGAGGAGAGAACCCCTAGCTGGGCCTCAGAGCTCCCCACCAAGCCCTTGGCCTCACCTTTGCCTTGGTGGTGCAGGACCTACTTCCCAGAGAAAAGCAGCACACGGGAAGGACACTGCGCACTGTGCATCCGCTTACAACAGCAACCCTGTCTCCTCTGGCTGACTCAAGGAGCCCTCCAGTCTCGTGCCCCTCGCCTCCACACATCACTTCTGTGTGTTCCCCTCTGGGTTACTGCCTTGTTACTCCTTCTATCACAACACAACAGAATACTCTTGGGACTTCAACTTGTGCTCCAGAGATGGGACAATTTCTCTCCTCCCCTTTGGGGCAGAATTTCTAAGTTAAAGACAGACCAAGTCTGATTCCTGAATCTGACAGGATTTACCCCAAGGTCCAGCCAAGCAAATCCTGAGGGCAGGGACTGAACCCTATGCTGGTTGTGCCCCTGGACTTCACTGTGAACAGCACTCTATAATCTCATGCTTACAGTTCTCCCTCTTGGCTTAGTACCAGCCCCTCCTCCTCTGGCAGACACTGTATGTAGAAAAGCCCTGAGCTCATCCCTGTCCACCTCCCAACCCAGCTTCCCAGCCCAGACTTGTTGCTGAAGCCCAACACACACCCTGTCTTCCTGTCACTGACATGTATGTGAACAACCCCAGTTTAAAATGACAAAATCAGGGCTGGGGTTACAACTCAGCACACAGCACCTGCCTGGCAAGTGTGAGGTTCTGAGTGTGATTCCTGGTACTAAAATAAAATAAACTAAAATGACATAACATAACACAACATAAAATGGCAAAAACCTACTTGTGACTTTTCTCAAACCTGCCCTCCCCATCTTCTTTTCCCTCCCAGTGCACTGACAACTTTGTTTTCCTAACCACTTAGGGGCCTCTGAAGGGATTCTTGTGAGGATCCAGCAGGATCTTGACTAAAGAAACACTCAAGATGGGAAATGCACTTGAGCAAGGAAAGGAAAGAAGGAGCAGCACAGACAGGAAGTGACGGACACAGCCCAAAGACAAAAACAGAGCCTAAGTCATGATCGCAGAGACAGGATCAGGGGAAAGGTTAAAAACCATCTAGAGTATAAAACTCACAAACGTGAGGTTACATGTGGCAACAGAAGGGAGAAGCTTGGAAGGAATTCCTTGTTCTGGACAGCTGAAAATGATTTTTTTGACCCACTGCTTCTGTTAACTTCAGGTATCTTGTGGACCTAGTCCACGGAGATGCTCAGCAGGTGGCTGGACAAAGGCCCCATGTTCAGGAACCAACAGAGCACAGGAGGGTACATGAGCAAAGCTGGGAGAACACAGGAAATCCAGAGCCGTCACTGACACTGACAAAGGACCCAGCAAAGTAGGCTAAGGTAAGGATGGATGAACAGTCACCAGTGTATGGGTTGCAGATATCCACTGAAAGCAAACATTAGGTCACTGGCAACCTCTATGAGCACAAGACTGGGGAGGGCCAGGGACACGACTGAAACTGTGGGCTACAGGACAAAATGAAATAGCAAATAAAGGCACTTCTGCCTGCGACTCATCACTGCACTGTGCACTGTGCAACCCTGAGTGACTAGAGAGAGAACTATTTAGAGAGTTGTTTAAGGGAGAAAAGGCTGTTCCTTCAGAGGATCCATGTGCATCTGTGGACTGAGCAGTAAAAACAACACATACACAGAACAGCAATGTCCTAATCATCAGAAAAGTCATGTGCATTGAGTCCTTCCTGAGCTGAACATACTCTGCTTTCTTATCCATGAAGGACCAGTAAGATCTTAGTAGCAATGGTTTAAAGATTGTTACATGGAAAGGCCAATCAAATCAAAGGTATCTTTAAAATCCATGAGGAAACAAATGTGTTTTTGCTTATGATCAATGTAAGGCAAAGAATGGATGCTTTTGTCCTTTTTTGCTATGAATTCCAAAGATATGAGACACATCTCTACCCTGGTTTTCAAGATTCTTTAAGGACTGTGTTATCTACATGAATGGGCAAGACAAGAATGCCTGACACTAATCACAACCCATCTTGCCTGCCCATATCTTTTACCTATTTGCATTTCCCGTTTTAAAGTGGGAACCTTTATTTAATTCCTAAGGTATCCTATAAACCAAAAAATAAACACATAAACAAAAAAACTCACCAGGGATTTCTTCATTTTCTGCTACTCTTGGAAAAATGTGGAAGGCTGTGAAAGCGGCGGTAGATCTGGGAAAGAAAAACACAAGCAGTGTCATAACATGCAATCTGCCCTACGACATGCAGGAATGTCCTTCATGAAAATCTACCCAGAAAGTTCACAAAACTTCCCCATAACTCAACCTTATGGGAGACTGTCCTAACATGTCCTCAGAAAAGACCAGGGCAAATCAGTAGCAATGCCCAGGTGCACGTTATAACCCATACGCCCTTACGGGGGCTGAGATTTCCATGGTGAAGAACATAAAATTCTACTGAAATAATTTGCTGCCATTACACGTCAGAGGAAAAAAAATGAATTCTATGACACAACACTCATCTAGTTTTTCACTGATTCACAGCCACTGAAGACTGGAAAACCCACAGGATGCTCTGAATAAAGGAAGAAAGTGCAATGGTTGAGACTTTATTTGTACAAAATCGAATGATGCAGCTCAAATCATCCTTTGTTAAGCCACCAGAACTTAACTGCAGTACAGCAGAGGGCACATGAGTCTGGGAGTTCGAGCCTTCTCACCAATCCCACCAAGAAACCTGGTGGCCTCGGCCAACCCACCCACCTGCTCGAGCCTAAACTCTTCCTTCACTTATGGAGGCAATAGGAGATCTGTCCTGCACTGCACTGCTTGAGGCTACAAGAGCAGATCTGAGGGACTCTACAGGCAGATAGCAAAGAGGGTGACGGACTCTTAAGAGAGTCCCTGGGAGAATCTGGAGCGAGAGGAGGAAGGAGTCTTGGGGTACCGCGGGAGGGCTACAGACCAACGTCTATGGCTGAGGCCCTGGACACGGCCTTCGGGACACACCTCACACCTCCTCTAGGCAGAGCGCTGGGACCGGCGAAGCCCACCCTGCGCTCCCCCAACCGTTCTCTCCCGGGACCTTCTCCGCCTCCCTCGCCCCGCGAGCTCCCGACCTCGCCCAACCGTGTCACCTACCCGCAGCCCACAACCCACGCCTCCCTGCAGAGGACCCTCGGCTCCCAACAGTTCCGCGCGAGGCTGGTCCTGCCGCCTTCATCCCCTCGCAGGCCCCGCTGCTCCGTAGGTCCCAGGTTGGAGCCCCAACCTGCCCCCCTGGACTCACCGTCCAGCAGAGTCGGCCTGGTCGCCGAGGTCGCCGCAAGCCGCGCCAGGTCCCGCTGCCGCCCTCCCGGCCCCTTCGGCCTCCGCTAGGGGCTGGGCGCTCGCGCTCCGCTTCCACTCGAGC